TGGCGGTGGCAGGAAGGGTGCAGGTAAAGCAGGAGCAGGTAGAGGTGCCGCTAATGGCGCTGGCAGCAATGGCGCTGGAGCAGGTAAAGCTGGAGCGAAGGCTGGCGCTGGAGGTACTACTGTGTGTATCGATCTCACTGCGCTCGGGAAATTGTAGAACGGAGCATACCGAACGATCGGTATTGATTTGACTGCTGGCACCAGATGTCCTATTCCGCTAGCTTGGCAGCTAGCTATGATGGTGAAGGTGGAAATGATCTGCAAATATAAAGAAAAACATTGATTATTTAAAAAGTGCTGCTAAGAAAAACGTTAAAAAATTAAACAAGATACATATAAAAATATATGATGAAGGACTATACTTTTGTTATAAAATACTTCTACCACTTGTATGAAGGAAGTTGGTACTATGGTACATATAACACTTTTATATGAATACTTACTAATCTCAGGAGTGACATGTTTCCTATGAAATGCGACTTGATGAGTCGAGGTACAATGTGGTGTGTGAGTACGAATGTGTCACAAGTCCAATATATAGTTCATAGTATTGCAAGCATTACGTCTATATCAGTAGCCATTGTTTTCACTTTCCTTTACAGGGACCTGCGCGTGCTTGATTATGAGTCAATACGGACATCGATTACCGAACATTCCACACTTGACCATCAAGGCGTCGTTTATATAACTTAAAGAGGTTTCTGGGTAAGGGTTTATGTAGTAATAAAGTGCAAGTTGTAATATCAAATCGTTAAAAACTAGACTGACTGTATTAGGCATTAGAACAGAATAATTAAATAGTGCAAATATTCTTTTATGGTCAGTAGATGCATAGACTATCTCATATAACGCATAAATTATTGTTAAATGATTGCTAGGTGCATTATGAATAACCACTCGTCTTTTATTTCTTATTCCTTTTATTGAATTGATTCTTTTATTTGTTACTGTATTCAGAGTTAAATCACAGAGTAGATAAAAGCGCTTACTACTGAATGCGCTTTACTACTTAATTTGTTAACGCTCAAATATAAGAATTCATTGGTACAAGAGTATTCATTATTTACGAAAAATATTATGACAGTTCTAACTTTTCGAAACATTCGATTTTTATTTCTATTTTTTCTTAATACATGAAATTATAAAAGTTACTCTTTATACACCGAACTAGATCTGGAGGTGTTTCTCTTTTTCTAAACAACACAAATTGAGCAATATTTTTTTTTTAAATAAAGACTTCCTGGTAATTCCTTAAATTAATGTAAAAACTGCGTTCTCATTATTTTATAGATGTTTACTTTGACAACGAATCTTTATAAATTCAACTTATAAAAATAACGGAATTCGTTGTGAAAAATTTTGTCCTCGACCTTTCTAATGAAATATTCTCAGAACTTACAGCTTTTGTACACTGAAACGAAATATTATTTTAATAATCATATTAATACATGGAAATAAATTAAGGAAGATTCAGTGACCCATTTCTAAATGTGTTTTGTACATGTACATATTTAGTCCACGGTCGAGCCGCGATCTAAATATCGCAACGTATCAAGAATAGCCATATTAGACGTGAATTTTAATGAAGTATTTATTGCGAAGCTATTTGTATTCACGCGACATCGCTCGCTGATGACCCGGTGAAATGGTTTACGATCGGTAACGCATGAATCAAAATACTTTGTCAACATTATATTGTTATGATGGTATATCAATACGTACATATATGTAAAGTATCTGTTTAAGATCACATGCTTGTATACTTAGTCATCCTTAACTTATAGTAGGCTTCGAGCCCATAGTTGTGACGTATAGCTGATGATGATGATATACATATAGTAAAGGAAATACGAGTACTTTAAGAATAAAACAAGTCGCAATGCTGCTCAGCCATATGAAAAATTGGGTCGTTACTTCTAGTTTATATAAATTTCTTTGTATCAAAACTATCCTTCTAATTTTTATAAATTAATGTTACAACAGAATCAATAATTATTCCTTGGTATATTTAATTGGGTTGTAGTTTGTAATTGTGACTTCTTTTCTTGCTTACTTTGTGAATCAAATAAATTAAGTAAAATAACAATATTATAGCATAATTATTTTAATTGGTATATTTGGTATGTACAAAAAGTTTGGTTTGGCACGGTCTTAATAAGCTACAATAGGGGCAGGTGCGGCTACGTAAGGGGCAGCCGCGTAGGGGGCAACTGCGTATGGTGCAGCTGTGTAGGGAGCAGCG